CAACACTTAAAAATACTTAGATCTTCCTAGTGATTGCTTTCTGTAGAGTGTAGACCTATAGGTATATTGTCATTAAAGCAAGAATGGCTCAGGACTGTAGGCTGTGAATCTGCAAAACTGAATGGAGAGCTGCGAGTTAACAAAAAAATATGCTTTTGTTTTTATCCACCACAAAAAAATATATATAATCACAAATGGCACTTATAAAATTGTTCCACTGTAAGGAAACTCTGCGTTTCTCTCAGTGGGGTAGGATTTACAATAACCCTCAAAAGCTCTACTGTTATAGAAATAGGCCTGTCTCCGTAGGTAGCTAACAAATGAGTATCTAAAGTGCAAGTAGTCTAAAATATACTTTGAAAATTGTTCTGATAATGTGTATTTATATATTTAGCTGGGACATTATTTTACATCCTGTAGAGATGCCGTTGCTTTTATCCGATATTCAGTCATGTTTTATTACATAGAACTGAGAATTGAAGCAGGAAATTTGGGTCATCTGAACCATGTGAGAAATGCGCCTTGGGGGCATTGAGAACTATGAATGTTGTCTTCCCCATACAGTCACTGGTTGATTATCACTGTTTTTTTCAACTATACCATAGGTGAACTGGCAGTTAACCATAGGTGAACTGGCAGTTACTTCTGAAGTTAACTTTGTGCCTGTGTCCACTGCATTTACTACTCTTGGGTGCTAGGATAATAACATTTATTTTAAACTTCTTGAATAATCAGACTTATGCTGTACTAAGAAAGTACTTAAGTCTCATGTTCACAAGCATAATAAGGGTTATGGGTAGCCTGTAATAGGCTCTGCAGAATTGAAAGATAAAGGTTGAAGCAAAAAAAAAAAACCCACTATTGATGTGGAGGCAAAGTGTCTAGATGAAGAAGCTTTTCTTCTTTCCTGTATCTGTGTTTTTGCTTGGTGTTTCAGCTGAGATGACTCATTAACAACTTGACCTTCCAAAAATCATGTTGAAGTTGAATAACGTTGTTCAAATCTGAATCGAGACTGGAATGCTGAATTTTTGGATGACACCATTTAGTAAATTTTTTTTATTACCATGCTAGTTTATCCATATTTATTACTTGAGTTTATGGGTGTATTTACTGTTCCTCCTGATTACTATTTATTACTGTAAGACTCACTTTCTAAAGATATAACCCAGCACTTATCTTGTGTATTCTGCACAGAATCATGTTTAAAGACTTGCATTTTTTTAAATGGACTTATTATTCACTAGAACCTAATAAGTTCCTTTTTTTATTACTGTTAATGCTACCCTTTCACATTTTTGCAATAATTAATTTTTCCTTTTTTGTTATGTTTTATTGATATTTAATATCTAGAAGTATCATATAGCAATTCATGAATTAGTTTTAGGCCTTTCTTGCTAAAACAAGGGAAGAGATTGAGGTAATGATAAAGTACATCCTTTAAATCTGTAAAGCAAATGCAAGAGAAATTGGAAGGTATAAATGGAACACTGTTCAGCTAATTGCTTTTCCAGGTACATTAGGAATTTAATGGATTTCCCAAAACATCTAGCACAAACGAAGTAATAATTTGTTAATTATATTAAATATTTTGATCTCTTATATGCAAATCCCCTAAACTGTTGAACAGTTGATTCGAATCCAATCAAATTTATTTCTTTTGTTGGTGTTCTTTTTCTTGAATTACCAGTACCCCTATGCCTATCAAGTGAGACATTAGTATGATCCAAAAATGAAAAGGTGACTTGTGATTTAGAATCCATTACTGTTTCCTATGCTTTTTTTTTTAAGAAATATAAAATATATTCAAATGATCTTAAGGTTTGCAATAAGTGCATAGAACTCCCAGTGCAGGAAGTGGCTATGTTTATTCATGGAATGATTGTGGGACTGTATTGTGGTGGCTTCATGAAGTTGCATCTCAATTGACATATGGTGAGTTAATAAATAGGCTGTTGGTTGAAGATTCTTAGTCAATGAGGTCAAATTTTGTCAGATTAGACTATTTCTTTTCCTTTTTTTTTTCTCCGTTTGCTTCCAAGTTTAATTTTTTTTTTTTTTTTAAATCCTGACCCTTATCCAAAGAGTAAATGTGGGTAGTCAACTTGAAGGGAATCTAAGCACTCCCTGGTTCTAACCTTTTCATTTGGGAATCAAGCTGCACACTCTTCTGCTGTAGCTCTTGTGTGTCTGGGTTTTGAGCCTCTCTGAGTGCATAGAGAGGCTTTCTGTTGCTATAGTTCCCATTTTTGAAATAGATATGCTGAAGGACATATCTAGGGAAGAGTAAAAATGGAAATGTTTCTATGCCCACTGACGTAGGTTGATGAGTTGTTTGGGTTGTGGGTTTGGTTTGGGATTTTTGGGGGGTAGTTTAGTTTTTTTTGTTAATGCCGCTAAGAGAAGAGGGTGACTTTCTTAAGGCTAATTTAAGTGCCTAATGTAATTTGGACAGCTAAAAGAATACATATTATATCTAGACTCCTATGTTTTCAAAGGTAGAGAACAGCATTATTCTGATACCCTACCATAGGAGCTGAATTGTTATAGGGTGTGAACGATGGTGAATCTGGAATGAAATATGAACTCTGCAGTCATTGAGAATTTTACATGACCAGGACTTTAGAGACAGGCCATCCCATGAAGTGTGTAAATATAAGTTTAGATGTTAATATTGAATGATCTTCATAATATGCTTGGAAACGGTGCAGTCAGGAGTGATTATTGTTTCTGAACAAAATATACGTGGTAATTTCTAAACAGTTCACAGTAAAGAACTGGTTTTCAGTTCTCTGGATGTCATGTGTATCTACATCAAGCACAGTCACCTCACTTTCTCATTTTACTGATGGAGAAACAAGCATGTCTCTTACTTAAATGGTCTTTATTCCAAACTGTATTTGAGATGAGGGTAGGGGAGGGAATCTAATAAGGTTAAAATTCATGTATCCAGGCCAGTGAGAGATGGTTTTGGTTTTTTGGCTGCATCAGGAATTTTGGTTTAGTAAGGATTTCAGGAATAATGCCTCAATGGTATCGGAACAGCCCAGATAGCCTTTGAGATAAGGAACAATTCATTTCCACTTCTAGCACTGCAGATGTTGTGGAATTATTATAGATTGCATTTGCACATCTATGTTATTGTAGATTTTCTTTACAAATTGACCAGGGAAATAACACTAGCAACTGATTTTGAATTCAAATTTTCCATACAGATAAGGATTTTGGATTAAGTACATTGATTAAATAGTCTTTAGCATCAGAAGCTCCATAGCTTAATAGCATGTAATTTCTTTATTAAGAACAGTAATTCTTCAAGTTTCTTCTACTCACTGAAGAGTTCTTTAAGTTACTGTAAGAATATTGCTAATTTATTTTTCTTGAATAAACCATTAGTTGTAAAATAGCAGTAACACCAGTGTTTGTTTTGTAAGGTAGGTTTGATACATAAATAAAATGAAAAATTTAACTAAATTTCCTGTTTTTTTCATAAATTAGATATTAAAAATAATGAGTTTAAGAAACAGATTAGATTTTATTATGTGGGATAAATCTATAGATTATTAAGTTTGGAAGGAAAGACATCTGATATTATAACACAAAACAATGATTTCCCTTAAGGTACTTTAGCAAATAACTGGCATAGTTGATATTTTTTCCTATTGCTTTATATAAATTAAGACTTCCATGGGAATATCGTCAAACAGACAGACTTGGTGTTCTGAATTCTGTTCAGTCTTTTTGTCTAATTTGACTTGTCATTTTGAGTGAGATGTTTAACTCCTTGGTTTCTGTTTACCAGTCCTTAAAGAGGAGAATAAAATTTATGTATTTGGGTGAACTCACAAAATGGTGTTTGTCTGTACACACCTAAGGTATTAGTTTTTAACCCTTTAGAAAGTATCTGCTAAAGAACACACATGATTTTCATTCTAATACAATTTCTAAAACAACTCCCAGGCAGAAGTAGGTTGGAAAGAGCATTGTTTGAAGGCAATTTGGTAGCAATTTTCTTGGAAATATAATATTTCCCGAATGTAGTTCAGTATTAACGTAAGAACCTCCTTTCTTTGACAATTTAATGATTAAAATTATGTGGATATTTAAAATGAGCAGAGAATGAGAGAGAATTGGAAACTAATTCAACATTGATAGCACTTGTTGCTCAGTTTGTTCTTGTGGAGCACCAAGTTATTCTTAGTGGAGAGCAGAGAGGAAAAAAAGCCTCAGATTAAGCTTCTATAACTACTCATGAAGCAAACTAATCATGGGATTTCCTAATTATTGGAATTAGGGTTCTTTGTCTGCTATTGATGTTCTCCTTGAATAATGCATAAAGCTGATTTAAATAATGGAATAATTTTAAGCTTAGAGGCATACTGGGGAATGAAAATGAAGTCAAATACCTTCATGTATTGATTAGAGCATTTCAAATGGTATCAACACTGAACATAAGGAGTTTATATATGTGATATTTTGCAGAACTAATGTACACATGCTTTTCCAGTTTTGTGATATCTTTTCCATATATTCTGATGCTCCGAGACTCAGTGATAACTATGAATAATACAATTGTGAATTAAAACTGAGACAGTATGGTGAGAAGTGCTTTCTTCTTACTACAGGAAATAAGCTATTTCCACTGATGCACCGTGAGCCTCAGTTAATTTACAGTTGTCCCTGTGCCTCTTGGGAGTCCCGAGCATGATCCAAGACAGGTCTTCAATAAGATGTGGTTTCTGTTTAATATGCTGTATTCATCATAACTGTAAAGAATTTCTGTGGACATCAAATTACAGTGGATGGAGTTTAGATAAGATGATGAAATGTTGTGTAACTTCTTCTTTTCTGATCTCTTTCTTTCAAAGTCTAGTACACTGTGCAATATAGTATATACCGTAAGGAAGTTCAGTGTGCTTTAAAACTGGATGTGAAGTCTGATGTTTGATTCTGCTCAATGCTGTAGCCTAATTCTGTTCCTACTACTTTGTTTCTTTCAGGGCATGAGAGACCGCTCCCATGATGGCAGAGATTTGTGTGAAAGATTTTGTTGAACACTGCATGACTCCTAAATGCTAAAAGTAGAAGGCATTAGCTGGTAGCTCAGTGTGGAGCAAAAAACTTATTTTAAATTTAAAAAGTAATTATGTCAAAGAAAAGCCGTGCCAAGGGAGAGAAGTCCGACATGGATACTGAAGCCCTGCAAGCTGCTAATGAGGAGCTACGAGCTAAACTAACCAACATCCAGATAGAATTTCAGCAAGAAAAAAGCAAGGTATTTGTCTGTTTATCTTTTATGATTGTTTTTCTTAACAGTAGCACTGTTAGAATCCAGCAGAGCTTGAATCTCAAACTAATTCGCTACTGAAATACATTAGCCTTAAAAGTAAAATAAGGGACAAAGAAGTGAAATCAGAAGAACCACTGATGAACTGAAATTGGTGCCAACTATTTTAAATAATGTGCAAAAGGAAGTAAATATTCCCAAACATCCAGTCACTGAAATTTGCAGTCACAGCAATACCAATGGCCCTAGCTTAAAGGCAAGGCCTTGCCAATGCCTGACTTAAAGGCAACAAGGGAGTTGTATTTGATCTTAGCACTGAAAACTCTATGTTGTAAAAAGAAGTGTCTTCAAAGTCAAACATCAGCATCATATTCAAAGTGTGTCACTTTAAATGCCTATGGAGAATGTAAATTAACTGGAAATCACCTGGTAGGAGTCCTGATATGATTTTGCTGAGGTTATGTGTGCCATTACTTTGAGCTGTTCAATGATGCATTCAATTGCTAATGAAACAGATCCATCAATATTTGTCTATCATCTGGCACACGTTCAACAGGTATTTGCTTGAGTAATGAAGAGAACACCTAGGAGAAATTTTTCATTCATGAAGTAATTATATATTTGTAAAGATTAGCATTTACTTTTATGTATCTCTGTAGCAGTTTAAAGTAGGGACAAGCCAATGAGGTTATTTCTATGCTATTAGTTTACTGATCTCGATTAGTGCATTTGATTTTGCACAAGACACTCCTGGAGGTGAATAATATGGAGTTATCTGTGTTTGGTGATACTGTACTTGCAAGAGTTTAAAGGACTTACCAGTGGAACAAGTACACACTGAAAACTTGTTCATTTTATACAACATGGCTTTGTTCTAGCCTTGTCTCTTTATATTGTGGTAGAATTTGGAACACCTGAGTAATAATATTCCTGTATGTTCTAGTTTCTAACAGTCTGATACTCAGCTTTGAATGATTTTATTTTTCATATTTTAATTAAAAAAGCAAACAAAACAAACACCAACAAATATAATCTTCAGAATTTATTTCTTATGGAGGAAAAAGAAACAATAAACCCTTAATTATTTTTTGACTGATGCATGCAATAGTTGGCTGATACATACTGAACCTAAATTTGTGTTGCCTTGGAAATTTTTCTTCTTCACAGGAGAAAGTCATATCTCTTCTGAGTTTGCAATATCGATGAGTGAACAGAAAAGTCAGGGTTTTTTGCTATTATCTTCCTCATCCAACTGCTACTCCTGTTTGATGAAATGAGAATAAATAATAAAATGAGCGTGGCACAAACTACTTGTGCTTCCTAAAACCACGCACCATTAAATTTACTAGTGGCTGATACCCACTAAAATTGAATTTACCAGCTGATAAATTGTATTATTTCACTGTCATTTTTAGCATCTCAGTGCTTCTGTTTGGAAAGTGACTTGTGAGCTGATAGTATGTTCTATTTACATTAGTACATTTTTTTTAGTTATTTTTTCTTATTTCCCATTTTATTCTGTATCACTTCTTATGTAGAAATACAAATGTGAATTTTATTATCTTTTAATTGGCTTAACTTTATAATCATGTGCTCTTTTTATCTCATACCTTGGACAAAAGAAAGAATTAATTTTGAGTGTTTAAGTTACTCAGATTCTAAAAAAACTTACAAAAAGATTACACAAGCCCTAAGAAGAGTTTACCCCTGATATGCTTCCAAGTTTGTCACTTCACCTGTAATAGTGTCAAGTTCAACTCTGAATTAAGAATAAATTGTAGCTGCAAGACCATGACAGCTGTAGGAATATTTTCTATAACGAGTCTACTTATTTACATGCAGTCTGGTAAGGGTTGCTTCAACTCGGTTACCTATTCACCTCACTACAGCTCGAGAATTTCTTATTTTCTGGTGTATTGAGGTTGTTACAGGAGACATGTCTGTGTTTTGTGTGAATATGTGTGCCGACAAATGAGTGAGCTCACAGGTGTAATGTGTAGTTGAATTTGAAAGAGGAGATTGCAGCCAGGGTGCTCTAACATCCTACCAAATATACAGTGCAGTCCGCAGTAAATTCTACGGCATGTTGGAGTGTGTTTCTGGGAGGATTGGGGGGCAAGAGGTCTTCAACCTCTTTCCTACATCTTTGGTGTGGTGTTTGCTCTAAGTCATTTGACTGGAATTGGGCTGTGTAGTTTATTTCCCACCTGTGCTCTGTCTGTGTAGCAGTTACATAGGACGCCACGACTAAGAAAATGAGTAAATTAAAGCCATAAAGATTTTTCCTCTTTAGACTGTAGCTTAAAAATGAGTAATAAAACCAACAGAAATTATGGTTTGATATCAGAAAACACTGTGCCTAGAGAATTCTAAATAAATTAGATGGCTTTATTGGCGCAGAGGTAAGAGAGAAAGTGTTGAAGCTGCTAAACTGACAGCTCTGTGGCCCGTGGGACATAAACTGTATTAGGAAAGGTAATGAACTCTTGTGGGGCCAATTCATTTAATTTAATTCTCCTAAGCTATTTTATCCCTCACGTATATGCCTATATTAATGATTTATCTGAGGAAGAACCATCTAATTGATGAGAGACATCACAAATGGAAATTAGCATTAACACACTTCTGCTTGCAAACTGCTGGCTTCCCTGAAATAAAATTTTACCCAAGAGACATCAAAAACTTAAAGACGTTTCTCCTGTAAAATTGTTCCTGATCCAAAATGGATATATTTTCAGTTCTTTGAATATGCATCATTGTGGATCTTGCTGGTGGTGGTTTGGGCCCCTGTCATACGAGCAGCTGAATTCATTTATGTTGCTGAAGGAGCAAAGAAAATTGTGGCCCTGCCTTAGTTCCCTTGTACTGTCTCTCTTTTTGGCAACAGGTGTTTGATAGGTTGGGGCAGTCTGTTGGTATGTAGCGTGTCATCCTGGGATTGTAGGTTTGCTTCCGTCTATGGAGAGTCTGGAGAAGGAAATGCATGAACTCAACGTGGGCTTGCACACTGCCCTCTCCCTGCTGGTGGAAATGTTTGCTTGGAAGACATCCAAAATTTGGGTATCAAGTAACAAAAACTGAAGCACAAAAATTATACTTATTTTAACATGAATGGAGCCAAGACCTGCTGTAACAGAACCTTAAAGTCCAGTGCAGTAAGCACAAGGGGGTGCAGTGAATGAGCATGTTCTTGGGAGTAAGGCTGAAGAAAATGTGAACCAGCTCAATGTTTTATACATGCCCACATTGAGATCCATGAATATTTAGGAACAAGTATTACAAAGTACCTTTTCCTGCTGAAATGGTTAGCAAGCTTTAGAAGATAGTCTTCCAATACATCGGATAATATTTTGTTCTTGATAGCAAGGTGCTATAGTGTTTGCTGTCATTGTTGCTCCATCTTCACCAAGTTCTGCTGTTGCTTTTAAATATCCATATTTGGCTTGTGACTGTACATTTTATAGAGTTGAGATCAGAACATATCTAGGAGTTGGGATAAATCAGATGTTTCAACTCCACAATTTTATAGATTGCTTTTATAAGTCCTAGTGCTTTTCCCAGGTATCTTTGGGTTGGATGTTGAATCTGTGTGTAACAGTGATTCCTTTTAAGTTGGAAAAAAAGAAATTAAAAAAAAAACTATGTTCAACATGTGAATTTAAAAAAAAAAAGAGATAGCATGTCATACTGTCAAAACAGCTTTATTTACTGGGGATTAAAAAACTCTTATGGAAAATGGAGTTATGGCCAATATTTATGGAAGAATTCTAAATACAGTTGTTGATTTGAGAATACGGACATACTGAATATATATATATATTTATATATATAAAATGAAAGTTATTCCTGTCTGCTGTGTATGGAATAAGAAAGGAGCCAGTTAACTTACTCAACTGTAACTGTGTACTGGATAAGGCACTAGGCTATTGTAATTGGGAATGAAATATGGCAACCCTCTTGGAGCAGAGAAATGGGTGAAGTGTTAGAAAACCCATATTGGGTAAACCCCAAACCTCTTTCCACTACTGACTGGGAATAAAAGGAAGCACATCCCTTTGGGTAAGTTGTTTCCTGACAGCAGTTGAATGACATTTGAATTCAGCTGTTCTCTACGCTTGATATATAAATGTAATTTCTCAATCCTTAACAAAATTACTAAACCGAGAGAATTTTGGACATCTGTCAAACATTAGACAGTAAGTAACAAAGTTATTAAGAATAAATGCGTCAGTGTTACTTTAATCGGAATTCAAGATTATTAAATGAGTGAATATGTTAGATATGATAATGCAATTTCTAACTCAGGTAAAACAGATACTGAAGAGGAGTGAGACACAGACAGACAGATACTAAGCAATGATTATAATTAATTTGGAAGAATTAACAAGAAATTATGATAATTAAACCTTTTAGATGGTATCATGTTGGAAGAAGTCGATAGGAAACACAGTGGAAGAGATCCTAAAAAATCCTAATGTTACAGTGTGATCTACAGGAAAATTCTACTCAGAAGTGTAGTAGGGCCTTTAAAATTAATGTATCTTATCAAATTATATATCTAAGTTATTTAAATATGGAATAAAAGGGAAATCACTGGAGTCTTCAAAACTTTCTAGGGGATCCAAATATAGCACAGGGAAAAGAGATGTTTCATATATTAAGATGAACAGTGAGCAGAAACACATTTTCTGTGATCCTTAGATATTGTCACATAATGTTCAGAGTTTAGGTTAAAAGGTTATCAGAAGTGGAAATGCTTGAGTCAAGAAAGATTGCAGTAGATGTGGTGCCTTGATTTTTTTTTTTTTTTTAATTTATTCTTTTTAAAGAATTTTTTTAAATTCATTTGTTACTAGAAATGGGCATGCATGATGAGGATATTTATGAAAATGGACAGCGAAAAACCTCCTGTGTTGACTCTGTATTCTGTGGAGAAGGAACAATGAGCATGATCATAGATAAACAAAACAATCAGTAGAGGCAGATGGACTGGAAATATGGTGGCTGAGTGTACTGGTTTTGGCTGGGATAGAGTTAGTTTTCTTCAGGGTAGCTAGTATGGGGCTGTGTTTTGTATTTGTGCTGAAAACAGTGTTGATAACAAAGGGATGTTTCAGTTATTGCTGAGCAGTGCTTACACAGACACAAGGTCTTTTCTGCTTCTTGCACCACCCCACCAACGAATAGGTTGGAGGTGCAGAAGAACCTGTGAGGGGACACAGTTGGGACAGCTGACTCCAAATGACCAAAGGGACTTGCTGTACCATATGACATGATGCTTAGCCAAGTGATTGACTGTTGTGCCACAAATTAAAAAAAAAAAAAAATTCCATTTAAATCCAAAAAAAAAAGAAAAGCAAGCAAAATGAGGTTGTCCTTAGTAAGTTCTTATCATAACATTTTCATTGGGGCAGTGGTTTAGTAGCACTTGGCAACATACATAGCTTAATAGGTTATTGCCTTTAAGAAGTGCATAACTTTAAAATTATGTCATTGACTCCAGTCCATAAAACCGAATATTACATTTCTGTCTCAAGTGTGCAAAGTACTATGTCAAAAAACACCACCAGATGCAAATATTCCATGCTAATATAATTGTATTGTAATTAAAGAAATTCCTGCTTTCACTCCCTGTTCAGACATAAGAAAGGCAAGAAGCAATGATGTTTGGCATTATTTTTCTAAGAAACCGGCTTCTGCTCTGGCAATGGTGTTGTGTCAGTGTGCACTAATTATTAAAGATTTAACTTAGAATGGCAGAAAATACCTGTTTTACTGATGCTTTGATCTCCTGCCTGACTTTGTTATCCTATTGGCTTCATTTCTCGGTTATGCTTCATGTTCTGCTTATGAACAAAACAGCTTTCTTCATTTTAAAAAAAAAGTATGCAGGAAATTAAAGACAGACAAATTGCTTTAAAGTCAAGTTCACTTTCAAACTGAGATTAGGCATATGGAAAAATGCCACACTACTATTTTCATTCAGTCAGTGGCTCTGGAAGCCAAATATGTACAGATCTGCATAGCATGCAGGAGGGAGTGCGGGAAGGACAGCTTATGGCTTTCAGGGAACACCTAACAGATAGATCCAACTTTCCATCTTCTCTGACAAGAAGCAATAACAAGACAAGACTTCTTAAAACCTTTAGAATTAGGATGCATCTTTTTTTACTGAGTAATGAAGAGTGATAGACATTCAAGAGGCAGTCTAAAAAATCCAGGGGTTTTAGAAGGATTCTGCTTATTTACATTGCTCTTGCTGAAGCTTTGTAAGTAAAATGATTAATGAAATATGATAATACTCAGTTATTCTGAGTGGTTTAATATGTGTTCTTATAGACAGGAACAATGTATATAGATGTTGCCTTTCCTCAATTCAGTGAAAGACCAAAAAAATTTGAGCAAGTAAGCTGTTTTGTGTAGCTAGGTACTCCTCCAAAATTTTAGAATCAATTTCTTGTATATTAAAAATGTTTTTACAAAGTCAGATTCATTAATGTTTTGTATTGAAAACTGCCTTTCAGTTGTATGCTTTATGTACAATATAACTTTAAATTGCTGTAGTTTTGGAGGTATATTAACCTTGTTTATATATGCCAGTATATAGTTTGTTTTCCTGTGTCATCATTACTAGGTTTCATTGTTCAGTTTCATTTCAATTTTCCTTGCTCATCAGGAAGGGAATAACTAATAGGTTTAAGTAAATAATGAGGTTCATTTGCAAATTTATAAACTCATCATTTTGTGATAGTAAATAGGTAAGTGATTTATCTTTGTTGTAGCATCATTGGATGGTTTGGTTTGGAAGGGACATTTAAGGATTATCTAGTCCAACCCCCATGCTATGGACACGGACATGAGAGTTTTAGATTCTCCTGTGGAATTGGGAGCCCTAATACAAGCACTGAAAATCGCTGCTATCCACCACAGGCTTGGAACTAAATAACACATGGGTATCTCCTGCAGATAATTTTCAGTAGCCAGACTTAGCATTCTGGGAGAAAAACAAATAAATAAATAAATCCATCTTTCTTCATAAATATGTGTTATCTGAATCATCCTGGAATAGAGTAACAGTACCTGTGCAATGAAATTTCCTTCTGATGGTGTCTGATTCAGAGCTGTTACCTTTTCCACAGCTGTAATTATAGTGGTCTCCCAGCTGGTGTTTAGTCCACAGTGTATCTAGAAGGTTAATGTCGTGAAAATGTAGATACCTTTCCTCCCTCTTCCACTCCAGCCTGTTTCCTTTCTGTTTTCATTTTATTTATTTTTTTTAAATCTAGGAGAAGTTTGAGTTGGTTAATTCTCAAAGTTACTGTCAAAAATAACAGGATCATAACACCTTCTACACAGGGAAAGTCTTCTGTCCTTGCTGTTTGAAGACTTCAGGTGAAGTTCAGACTCTGGAAACCCTACTGTCAGTGCTCTGGGTTTGAGTAACACATCGGTCTCATTTTATGGTCACTTTTAAATTAAGTAGTAATCTTGGATTCATTGGATGAGCTATATCTGAGGCTTTTGAGTTAAGATGTCCCGTTTTGCTTAAAACAAAGCTCCCAAAGTACCTGTTTAGAGCCAACCTGCTTTCAATAAACAAAACAATGGGCCTTTCCTGAACTGGAATTAATACTTTTAATTAACTCTACTTTTTTGTTTTCACTGTAGAATCCAGAACCTTCCAAAGCATAATTCGTTTTAATTATACATTCAAAGTAAATGATAGTTTGAATATTACTAGAGATCTCCCATCCTTTCTGTGCTACTCTGAGGCAAGTTGCAATTCTGGCTTAGTTTAGCATAAATTAAACGCATTGTATGGCTACAGATCCAGCTTTGTATAGCAGAGATGCAAGCAGTGTAGGAATATTGTGACACTGACTAACATCCTGCTGCTCGAGAGCCTCCTTTTAGCATGAAGTGCTGTTTGGTATGTATGATTGTATTGCCACTCAAGGTTAAAACACAAGTCTTTGAAATCTCTGCCTCTGACTTTGTTTTAGATGAGAAGTACATGCGGAGAGCTCATATTTTGGCAGTCACTGTGGTAGGGATAGTAGAAAGGTGTTACTGACATTATACATGATGAAATACATTATAGTCTTTCTGTTATAGTGTAATAGAGAAGCAAGCCTTACTCCTTTTTTTTTTTTCCTCTTTTCTTTCTTCTAAATTAATATCTAATCCCACTTGGAAAAAGCATTGCTTTCCATGCAGCCTGCTGAGCATCATTTTATAATAAGGCCTCATCACAGTGGGTATTACTATAATAGGCTAGAAGACCTTTCCCCTACTCCCCCCACAACCCTTAGAGTCACTGGCCTATATTTTCTGAAGTATTTGGGGACTATAAATACCCTTAGTTTTGGGGGGTGTCCTGTCTGAAGTCCCTTGAGTAGACTTGATTTTTTTAGAAGACCAATTCTTCTGGCTTATCTAATAAGGACTTTTCCATTTAAGTAGCTAAGAAATTAAGAAATCCAAAATAAATGTCTTTTTTTTTTTTTTTCTCTCTCTGCCCTCCCCTTTAATGTAGTTTCTATTCTCCATGTTCCTACTGTTAAGAACTCCCCTTTGTTGATAGGACAGATTTCTCTGTTTCTTCAAGTCAAGATCCTTTCTCATCTTATTAGCAGGAACTACCTTAGGCCAAGTAGTGGATTTAAGTGTAGTAATTGGAGAACCAAATCCCAAAGACTGTATGTGTGTGAGTTGGGTAGATCAATCTATGCCTGTCTGAGCATCCCATCGGTAAAACAGAGATAGAGCTGCTTAGCTACAGAAGGATGTTTTAGGAATAAATTAATTGAATATATGGGAAGATTTAAGTCACTATGAGCATCCACAAAGCTTGGTCCTTCACATAGTAGAAAGTTCTCTAACATTTCCGTGACAACGTAAACACAAACCCTTTTCTCTCTGTTTGGTTTGCTTTCCATCTGAGCGGTTATGGATGAGATTAGTCTGGGGTGGTTGGTGGAGGAGATAAGGAAAGAACTAGATTGGATGCTGCTCAGTTTTATTTTATTCCCTAAACCTGTGAGAACTTGCTGCCAATAGCACATCCCCATGGCACACTCCTGCACACACACAGCCTTTTTCTAGCCCTGGTTCTCCAGTTATTTACTGGAGAGAGAGGTGTCAGGTACATCATCTTTGCTTTTGAATATTCAGGGTGAGGTTTTAATAATGTTTAAGAAAAAGCTCCCATTGTGACTTTTAGAAGTGTGGTAGCACTTGTTAATCAATACTTATATTGATGTTCCAGGTGGGTAAATTGAGAGAGAAAATCCAAGAGGTCAAGCAAGAAAGGGAGCAGGAGCAGCACAAGCACACTGCCTATGTTTCTGAGCTGAAAGCCAAGCTCCACGAGGAGAAAATGAAGGAACTTCAGAGCGTCAGGGAGCTCCTGATCCGGCAGCACGAGCAGGAGGTAGCAAGAATGGTGAAAATTAAAGATGGAGAGATCCAGCGTTTGCAGTCAACAGTCAATGTCCTGCGGGACGGGGCGGCTGACAAGGTGAAGACGGCGCTGCTGAGCGAGGCGAAGGAGGAGGCTCGCAAGGCGTTCGACGGCGAGCGGTTGAAGCTGCAACAGGAGATCTTGGAGCTGAAATCTGGCAAAAAGCAGCTTGAGGAAGCTTTGAACAACATCATGCAGGCGGATAAAATGAAGGCTGCTGACCTGCGCACGGCTTACCAGTCCCATCAGGATGAGATTAATAGAATAAAGCGGGAATGTGAGAGAGAGATCCGCAGGCTGGTAAGTTCATTAAGTAACGCGTGCTTATTTCAGTTTTTAACAGGTATTACTCTATTGCCGTATGTGCCCACAAATAATAAACCACTTCTTTTTCAGTGACATCTTTCATCAGTGCTGGTTGCTACAGTATGCACCTATTTCCACTACTTTCTCCTCCTTACAGCATGGATGAATCTTGGATCCATGTTTAGCCCAACCCAATCCAAAGCTTTATGTCCCACCAAATAGAATTTGAGTGAACCGAGACTTTCCAGGATGAATTTTCTCAACAGAGCAAAGAAATAAACTCCCTTTCCCACTCACTTTCCAGGATGAATTTTCTCAACAGAGCAGAGAAATGAACTTTCCCTTTCCCACTTGCTCAACTATGTTTCCTTACAAATTCCTGCTGATCAAAACAGTCAAGCATTGCGCACTTGGCAATGCAAGAACACCTTTGTGAGATGGCAAACTTAACTTTTCAGAGAGCTTTTATATTTATATTGGAGGAACCAGTTGTGCTGAACCAAGACAATGTCTTTGCATCATTATCCAGGTTATTTGATTTTAAGCATTTTTTAAAATTTCTGTGCATTTTCTACTGCAGTTGAAAAGTTAGGGCCTAGTACAGCAGGCTTTTTTCACGCTTCATAAACCCTAGGATTTCAGCCCAGATGGCAGATTATGCTGTTTGTATAAAATCTAAATCCAGGCAGTATTTCCTAACAGTGGGTGCCCCAAATATTTCAAGTTTTGCAGCTTTGTAAAATGTAAAGAATCTAAGATGGGCTGTTTGCAGTAGTACATTTAGAGAGTTCATCATCAAATGACACTTCTGTTTGGTACCATGATATTTTCCATGTATATATTTGATTGTTAATCTGTCTAAACTACCACTGCAGTAGCTATGCAAATAAAATCTAAAATTATAATAGGAATAATATTTATCATATATCAAGAAGTACAGACTTTAGATGGAATAAAGCATCAGGTTTTTTAAGAAAAAATGTTTTATCAGTTTTTGTTTACACAAGTATGTGCTCTTATTTATTTTAATTCTCGGGAAAAATGGTGGTGAGGGCAAACTACAAATGTGTTATATCTGTTTAATGGTAGTGGTTTTCTGTCTGAGACAATGAAAGATTTTAGTGCAGTTAATAATTTTGCTTTAAATAAATTTGAGGTTGATCAAGTCTCAGGGGGATAAATTCCTTGATTAATTAGAGAAGACTGCAAAGATTCACAACGTGAATTTTGTAAGCATACTTTCTTTCATATTTTGTTCTATATTATAAATGTAGAATTTTAAAATTCTGAGCTTAAAGTACAGGTAATTTTTAAAAATTGTAAAGAGTAGAGTAGGTTGCTATGTTGTGGCCTTTATTTTTCTAGAAAACGTTTCTAATTGAGTTTGGCCTTCTGAAACCCAGGAAATGGTGAGGTGAGGCACCCCAAATTCTGTCATCCTGGATTGTGCCAGTAAACACACCTACGCTGTTTCTTTGGGTGGTAATGTAAAGGAACCACTTATTTCTTCTCTTTCAAGAACGGAAGCTTTCAGCCTGCTGTGACAGGAAGAATTCACTCAGAAGTATAACTGGAGCCTCAGAGGGTCTCTGTTACTCTGTGTGTCTAAAAAGGTGTTTGGAGAGTGTGCAGGAAACTCCTGTTATCCACACCCAGCCCCAGAGGAATGCCGGTGCCAGTCTTGTGGGCTTTCACTGGAAATCTTCATATCTTTCCACAGTTTCATGTCTTTCTCCCTCAGGAGAAGTACAAGGAAAAAATATCAGGAGCCTGGTGTTGCCTTGTAGCGCCTCGACTCCTTTCAGATAATGAATTTCATTTTTTTTCATTAAATTTTACGGGTTGTTTTTATGGAAGAGAAGTGTTGCTTCCAGGAACTCGTAGCAATTTAGGCAGTTTTTCTTGCATAAGGCACCCTTTAAATCTGGACCACGGTAGAAATTACTGCAGAGTTCCTGGATGACTCTTCTTCCTCTGGGAGTGGGATTGCAGAATCAGATCATCAGGATATTTCCCTTCCCCTTCTCTCTCCCATTTCAATTAGCGCAAGGGATGTTCGCCTTCAATTTCAGATTAACCCTGTTAGCTACAGTCTTGGGGTACTTGGTTTAGTCCCTACCCTTATGGGATAAAATGACAAGGATGTGGCAGGCAGTGTTATTAGTATTAGCACAGTTCTGCAACTGAGCTTCAATTAATGTGGGTTTTTTTTGTATGTGTTGTGTTTTAAGGCAGTATTAAGAAATCAACATCTTTGGTATTAACGGCCTAAATGGGCTGGCCAAACTAATTCAAATTCAGACAGAGTAATTCAGGATTCAGTGTCTGATTTTCTTGTCAGACTTGGCTGATTTATTTTGCATTTTAGATCACAGGTTAGGTTTGCAGATGTATTTCATATAGATATTACAGCTTTAAAAATAAAAAAATCAATATTTTTACCATTGATTTTAATACCCGTGACTAATTTGAGTAAAATCTTGCATTTTTTGTCTTCCTGTCAAAAAAGAATGTAGTGAGAAAGGAATAAAGCAAAATCCATTGTCTATTAATATGTGAATACAATTACATTATGTGCATAAACAGCGTGCTTGTGTTGTAAAAATCTCAGTATTTTAGAAATATTATTAGTCAATTTCGAGATTGTCCTCACAGCTTTGAACTGAGCTATGAAAAATACCCAATAAGCCTCTATACAAACAAAACTGAATGGGGAAGATCCTAGTGTCTAATAAGGGGAAGTGAAATAGCTATTTGGCAAAACATATAACACACCTTTTGTATGTGCAGTATGAAATTATATTGGAATTTGACATTTCCTGTGATTGACTTAATATAAGTGATCTAAATGTTTTCATTAATTAAAGGACAGCTTGTTGACATGGGGTTTTTTATCTATTTTTTTTCCCCCAAAATAAAAAATATTTTTGCTCTATATACACATTGGCACAATGTGCTGACAACTAAGAATTGGAAATAAAAATAGCTGGTAACAAACTGGAGAGACATGAAACAGGTGTCTTAAAAGTAGAGACAACATGGAGAGTAAGATAAGAAAGCAAGAACAGCTATTGCTTAGTTTTTTCAGCCAATATGCTCTGAGTTGTTGAGTCTGAACAGTTGTATTATTCTGTCAATGTAGTATGAAAACTGCTGAGGTGGATTCAATACTTAAAACCAGAAATAACATTAAAAGACAGCAAATAGGAAAAAAGAAAAAAACAAATCAGAAATAGCAAACTGAGAAATAATCTGCATGAAGGAAAAATGTTAAAGCCTGCTTCTATGGATTTTTTTTTTTTTTTTCCAAAAAAAGAATATACAAAATCATGATTGTACTTTTTCACTCATGGAGCTTCAGTATAAACAGCCCCATGTCATACATTCAGCTGAGGGCTGCACAGGCAAGCGTGTACATACCTAAATGATGCTGGATCAACAGACTTCTGTTTTAATGGCATCCTTGTAAGCAGTATGTCTGGTTTCCTTCAGTGATCTGGGTGGTACAAGGTAAATTTATTAAGTTATGCTTATGAAGTAGGTTAATGAGCAGGCAACTGTACTATGAGAGCATTTAATGTATTAATCTAAATATAAAGAAATGCACAAAATAACAGTGTAGTTCAGCCAATTTTTCCTGGACCTCAATTAAGCTTTGTCATTCAACTGATTTATTTGGTTTTAAAATCAAGTTTAAAGTTAGTGTTCACTGGTAAGTAAAGTTTCTCTCTATTGCCTGAAATTGCTGAAATAGAACATTCAAATTGTTGGTGAGTTTTGGCAACAGAGCAACCTTATTCTGATATCAGTATAGCTGTGAAGGAGGGCATGAATATTAAGTATATCATATTTGTTAAAGGTTACATTTATTCTGGGACTACCTGGACGGAGTTTTTAAGAAGGCCTTTACTTTGCAAGGCACGTTTCTCTAGATACAGTGGAAACTTTACAGTGCCTGCCTTGGAAAATATATGCAAAAAAAACCCCCAAATCATTAAAAGTATATTGAATTATATCATCATTGATTTACTCCTTTATAGTATTTCTTGAATAAGAAGGAAAATGGATATTTATTTTTGTCAGGCATTGTTAATATAAAGATAATATTTAAACTTTGGAATATACAGATTATACTTGTGTCCTGTGTTTTTTGGTGTAGGGTTTTAGTAAATATTATTTCCTCTATTGGAAATGTATTTATATCAAACCTTTCACCTATTTTACAGACCAATACCACTCAAACTTGTTAAAATCTTTGCACTATGATCTTCCTAATTATTCCTAAACAGCTCAGATTAAAATGAATTGAAAGACTTATTTCACTTAAATGTAAAATAGCCCTAGTTTTCTATATTCAAAATCAATACAAAAAAATTCCATTGATCCAATTAGGTGTACAATCAGATCTATGATTAAGAGGGCACAGATTATACCAGATGAATTAAATTTGCTTATTTCAACTGTATTCTTAAATAACCTCATAAAATTTTCTAAAGAGTAATGTAACATTACTACAGATTCATAATTGCAAGGAAAAAAAAATAATCCTTTTACTATTAACAGAATCAAAGTGAAAGAAATTGTTTTGAGGAGTGATTTTTCAGAAGTTCCTATCAGCCATGATTTATGAAGATGGATGCACTATTTAAGTGTCCTTAGTCTCCTTACTTCTTTTCAGTGTGTCCTAAATCAATGCAGTACCTGGAAGAATGTAATTCAAACTAATAGATTAAGCAGTTTTTAAAGGTAAAAATCAAGGCATTTTCACTTCTGTTCAAGGAACAGAAAAACCCTCTGCTGAAATAAGTATGTGCCACTTATATAGTGATCTTTTTAATTTTATTTCAGTTTTGTACCTGTGTATAACACTGTATTTCATTATTTAAGTGAAGACTTCTGAAAGACTGAGAGTAAAATCTTTTCAAAATTAAGAATTAGATTGTTTCAGTTCAGGACAAAACCAAATTTCAGCTCAAGTCCTTCACAAGTTAGTG